TTCTTACTTGTTCCCTCACTATGAATCTATGCAAACTATGATTGTAATGTTTGGATTATACAATTTCTTACTTGATCTTTTTGCTTTTACCTGGTAAGTTGGAAGAAGAAAAAATAGGGTCCTCTACCTTTTACATGGACAACAGGACAAGTACTTTGGTCCCCCAAGTTTCAATTTTTGTAGTTGACCAAGGGATTTTGTGTATATGGGATGAATCATAGCTGGCCTCTTACATGACATAATCTTTAAAGTAGGGGTGGAGCCAGGATTACAGGTTGTTTGAGGTGCTTCATCCATTTTTGGTTACCTTCAATTATGGATTCTATAGCGACAGATTTTGTCTCCAAAATTGCTTCATAATCTAGAAGAAGTCTAGAATAATCCAAATTGGTAAGAATTATTTGCATCCACCGGCACCGATTTGCTAGAATTGTGTAGAGAAATCTTCCACCGGCACCGACAATAGCTCACCATATATATGCACGTGTATAGTCTCTCCATTTTGAGTATGAGTAGATGAAAGAAGTGAAAGACAAAATATATGTGTATGCCTAAAAGTGTGAGATATTTTGTAATTATCTTTTATGATTGAGATTGTTTAACCGATCGTTTGAAACATTTTTTGTTTTGTTATTTTATAATATAAAATTTTTTATAATATATTTTGTTTGTTGTTTTATTATTTAGTTTTAAGTTAATGATTGGTTGCATAATACACTGTTGAATATTGTATTTACGTTAACTTTGGGGGGCCTAATTTACAAAGTTCGCCTTAGGCCTCGAAAATCACAGGACCGGCCTTGTTCGGAGCCTAACATTTCTTTCCATTTGCACCACGATCTTCGTAAAATCAGTTAAGAATATTCGTGAAGAGGGAAAAAGAAAAAGACAAATTATCTCTATAAAAACTCGTTATAGGAGAATTCTTTCCCAGATTATCCCATTGTCAAGCGTGTCAGTACAAGCATCATACAATCTGATACGAAAACCTTTTTCAATGTAATTTTTAGTCTTCCATACATATTGTCTTCACAATAATAGAACTTTACTATTTATACGCTAATTTTGACACTTTGGTTGACACTTGCATTACTATCAAGTGTCAATTGAATGAAAAAATTGTTTAAAATTTAAACTGTTCAATGAGATAATGACACGTGACAAAGCGTAAACTAAAGTGTACACCATAGCAAGGTTCATATATCTATAAAACTAGTTACTGGGGATGGCAGAACGTATATAGCTGTGATGAATTTACTGCATTATCAATCTTGACTGAATGTTCCACATTTTGTTGCTTATGTTTATGTATTTCCTCTTTTCAAAATGTGAATGGTCTTGACTGGATTGTCTTGATTTTCACAGAGGAAACATTTAAATGGAATTTTGTGTGTAAACTTTGCAAAGTTTAGGTGGTGAACTTTTAACAAGGTGACCAAAAGAAAATTAAAAGAAGAAGTTGTAACGAAATATTTTCAATATCTGATACGTTTATTCGGATCTCCTATTATTTATGCTTAATTCAACCCTTATAATGACAATTGTCACATATTTATACAATTCGACATATAATGTTAATAATTCATCAAAATAATTAGTTACATTATAAGCTACCTAATTATTGCTACGTGTAAGTGAATCCCTCAGTTAATTAAATTACTGATCATCAACATTTGCCTCCAGTTACTACTTGCTTACCCAAAAATAAAGGGTTATTAATTGTTCACCCACTTTTGAAAAAAATTATCAATCCATCTCCCTTTCAATTTCATCCATCTAGTTAGACAAAAATATCCATGTGGTCGATGAAAATCCTATGTGGCCACTAATGCTATGAAAAATTTCGGGCGGAAAATCACAGCACATTCAAAAATGATTTCTCTTCAAAAAGTTAAAATCTTTATTTTTTTTTTTTCCTACTCATCCGTTTCTTGAATCCACAAATGCTGGTATCTAATGAATAAGATATCTTGCAAATGGATGCAATCTGAAGGCTTGCTTCACCAATCCAAAATTCATACACAACCAGAAAATCTTCTACAGTGTTCTATATGAAATCTTAGAAGGATCATTTTTTCCCCCTCAAGAATTGGCTGAAGTTATGGAATTGTAAATCGCGATGATGAGTGATTTGTTTTGAATTTTCGTTACATGCTGATTTTGGGAGTTAATTTTGAAACATAGCATTTGCGAATTGGCTGAAGTTATGGAATTGTAAATCACCATAATGAGTGATTTGTTTTGAATTTCCGTTACATGCTGATTTTGGGAGTTAATTTTGAAAAATAGCATTTGCGGTGGGGAAAATTGCAGCAAAGGTTCCTTAACCTTTTCAATTTTTATAAACTTTACCATAATTTTTATTTTGTGCCAACAAAGGTCTATAACCTTTCATAAATATGCACCTGAGATCCATATAGATGGAAACCGTCCAAAATATTGTTAGTTGATTAAAAAAAATTTCTTAAACTATCTACTACTATGACAGTTTTATTGGATGTTGATACCTTTTTAGATGATGTTTTTGGACGATTTTATTAGATGTTGATTCCTTAATTTTTTCGGTCAACTGACAGTATTGTGGAAGGTTTCTATCTAGATGGACCTCAAGTGCATATTTATGAAAGGTTGGGAACCTCGTTGACACAAAATGAAGGTTAAAATAAAATCTGCAAAAAATGAAAATGATAGGGACCGTTGCTACAATTTTCCCTTTTATGGTTTTCTTATGTATGTATGTAGTATTCTTGATATGAGGAATTATCTAATGGGCACGGGACCACCAGTGCTCATTTTATGCTTATATATATTAGGGCTGGGCAAATCTCCCGGACCGAACCGAACCCGAACCGAACCGATCCGAACCCGACGGTTCTTGTCAAATTAAATACCCGAACGGGTATCTGAATTGAGAACCGACGGGTACGGTTCGGTTCTCGGTTCTAGACCAAGAACCGAAGAACCGAATCTTTCTAATTTTTTTTATATTGAGTAAATCAAATTATTTTAATTTTAATTTTTTCTTAACAAATTAACAAATTAATGATTTCTAAATCCAAATTTTTGGCCCAATAATTTGTTTCATTTCTAATTTTTTAATTTTTGGCCCAATTACCCATTTTATTGTTTCATTTCTTAGCCAAACAAATCAAATCCACTAAATAACCCTAAGCACCTACAATAGAGTGTATAACGTTGTCTCGACTCTCGCACTTACTCTCGCAGCCTATCTAATATTCCAAAACCTATACAATCGTCGGCCGACACTCTGACCTCCGATCGAAGCCGTAACTTTCCCCGACTGAAGCTTTGATCGTAGCGATCATTTGAACAAGATAGTTTACTAATCTCTGACATTCCAAAACTATTGAATGTCTCATTAGTCGTATTTATATAACGTTGTTATAAATGTTAAAAAATTTAATTATAGTACAGAACCGAACGGAATCGAACCGATCCGAACCGAACCGAACCGAATGGAACCGAACCCGAACGGTTCCATAATTATATTTGGACCCGACGGTTCCATTTACTAGATACCCGAAAAGTTCGGTTCGGTTCGGTTCTAAAGAGAACCGAACCGAACCGACTCGCGCCCACCCCTAATATATATTATACAGTATATTCCTATTTTTTAGTAGTGCAAATATGATTTTCTCTACCAATAAATTTAGTGCAATTTCTATTGTGTCAGAGCATGTTCAACTGAGCTAAAAAAGTTGTCTTAGAAGCACAAACAAAATTATTCAAATAAAGAATTTTTTATTGATGAAAACTTAAAAATAAACAAATTGCTTATTTTGAAGTAAAAAAAGAATTACTTTTGAGAAAAGTAATTTTTCTACTTAAAAAAATAAAAAAAATTGTTAATGCTATTCTGTATGCAGTGGGCACCGTCATTTTGATTTTGACATTACTCCAACTTTTTCCAGTTTCATTAATGCTACAAAGAAAATAATGAGAATATAAAGGAAAAATCTTTGAGAAATTGTTGAAAAAACCAAGTCAAACATCGCATCATATTACTAGTAATGCCCTTGTTTGAAAAAACCAAGCCAAACATAGTGAGGGCAACGGGGCGCCCTGCCCCGCCCCGCCTCTCCCACGCCATACCCCGCCCCGTACCCCACCTTGCCTTTGACGGGCCGGGGCGGAGCAATTTTCTTGCCCCGTTTAATTTTTTTTTTTTTTTATATTCCGAGTTCAATAAAATACGGATAACATTCAAGTTGAACTTTTAATAAACAATACCCTTACTTTATGTAAATTTAAGTTTTTATTTTGGGATAAAATTATTTATAGTGTAAAATGATTTTTAGAGAATGTGTGGATAAAAAGTATAAAAAAATTATAGGTCTACATGTAAATTATGTTATTAAAAAAATTGTGATAGAAAATAAGTTTAAATAAAAACGATTTTGAAATATATTGTATAGATGAACCTAAATATGTTATAATAGTTATAATTATGTAAACAAATAATTAACAAACAATTAGCTAATTAGTAATAAAGTTATGATAAATTAAGGGTTGGATGAACAAATAATTAGAAATTTTCTATCTTCATATTTCCAAGTATTAAAAAAAAAAAAAAAAAAAAATTCCCGGGGGGGG